ATGAAAAGAGCAGCAAACAACTATTTGCTATGTAAGATAAGATAAGATAAGATAAGATAAGATAAGATATTCCTTTAATAGTCCCACAATGGGGAAATTCCAATCTCACAGCAGCAAAGTGGATAGAGAAAAATAACAGTATAAAGACAGTATAAGAACAGTATGAAATATAATATAATATAATATAATATAAACACTGTACAAGAGAGAAAAAACAGTAACTGGTATTAGGAACCGACATACATTTGCAGCAAAAATTAAGATCTAACCAGTGGTGGAGTGTACTGTGCTGTAAGTACAACTCTGAGATACATGTGAGTTACTTGAGTATTTAAATTTTATGCTACATCATACTTCCACTCCACTACATTTTGGAAGAAAATATTGTACTTTTTACACACTGCGTTTATTTGATATCTTTAGTTAATAGTTATTTAGCAGATTCACATAATAGAAATTAACTAATAAATTACGAAATATTATTATAGATTAATCTACCAAGCAGCATTAAGTAATGGAAATAAAGCTCCAGCGCTACCACTGTGCAACCAGTCAGATAGTACTGTGGGCGGGACATTGATTGAGACTACAGACAGTGAGAAGATGCTGCGTCTGAGGCAAAGGAGCGCCTTTTTCTAATCAGTCAATAATAGGCCTATCCCTAATTTCTACGCATGCAAATTCAGTTGTAATAGATATACTATGCTTGATCAGTTTGTAAGCTGATGCAAATCAAAGTCACCATTTTCTGCTGTTTTCTTTTTTAGAGAGATCAGTCGGGCTGCTGGCAAAGTGGTCAGCGGGATCATTGAAGATGAGAATGTTGGAAACAACGCACAGTGAGAGATTCACTTTTCTATCTTCTACACTAAGTACAGCATGTAGTGTTTTGAATGCAAGATGCTCTGTCTTTATTTGTGCAGGGCTCTCACGTTTGTGTACCCGTACGGTGCCACGCTGAGTGTGATAAAGCCTGCTGTGGCTGTTCTTTCAACCGGCTCAGTCTGCTTCCCCCTCAACAGGCCCGTCCTGGCCTTCCATCAAGGAAAGGTCAGAGGCACAATGTAGTTTTCATACTCACTCCCAGACCATATGATACTTGTGAGATGATGTTGAAAGATGTCTTGTGTCTTATGAAGGAGGCTGGCAAACTGGCAGTGCTGGGTTCCTGCCACATGTTCAGTGACCAATACATAGACAAAGAGGAGAACAGTAAAATCATGGTGAGTCCGCTTGACATTTAACTATTTATTAGTCAGCTAATGAGTATTCTGCTCTCCTGTGGAATTTGTCGAGTCATTTTTTTGTTCCTTTTCATTCTAGGATGTTGTGCTCCAGTGGCTCATGACTGATAATATTCAGCTGAATCAGATTGACGCCGAGGACCCAGAGGTGAGGAAGTGAACTTGACAGCGGAACGACATCACTAATATTGTTTGTTAAACTAGCTGACATCCAACTTATCCTTTCATCCCTCAGATCACAGACTACACCATGTTGCCAGACACAGGGTGCCTGTCAGAACAGCTCCGAGTGTGCTTACAGGAGGGTGATGAAAACCCCAGAGACTTCACCTCGCTCTTTGATATGTCTTTGTTCAATTTGTCGACTGACACTTTACCCCAAGTTATCAGGTGAGAATGCAAAATACGCCCCAGTGTGTCACTGCTCTGCATTTCTCCGGTAAATATAATAAAATGTTTTTTGCAGTGCTTACAAGCAGCTTAACGTCA